GGATAAACAAATCATAGCTATAAAACAAATATGTCTATACAGTAGAATACTACTAAGCAATAAAAAGCAATTAAGTTATTGACACAATATAAATGAATTTCAATATAATTATGCTGAAGGAAGCCAAAGAGGACATGCTGTATGATTCCATTCATAGAAAACGCTAGAAATCACAAACCAATCTAAAGTGACAATGGTTGTGGAGAGGAAGGAACTATAAGGGGACACAAGGAAGTTTCGGGGGTTGACGGATATGTTCCATTTGCATGACTCTAAGGTTCCCTTCTGAATTACTGGGAGAAATGTGCGGCCACGGACCAAAGGACAGGCCATCAAACCTGCCTGGGTTTGTCCAGGCTCATGCCACCCAGCAGTATGCAATTGCAAAGTGGGAGAACTTGGGTCTCTTAGAAACCATCTAATCTAAATCCCTTGTGTTGCTGATGAGGGAAATGAGACCCGGACAGTGCTGGGACCCTGGGCTACACCCACACCACGGCCAGGTCCACGTTCCACGTCTATCCTGGACCTTCTGGAGCATGAGCTTTTGCCAACGCTTAGTTCTTTTATAACACAGTCACTTGCAGTTCGTCAGTCGAACAGTGTCGGACCTGCGGGGTAGGAGTTTGGGTGCAACGTCAGGGAGGAATTGCCAGTGAACGCCAAACCCTCGTCCAGAAGCCGGTGGGAACCAACTGCACAGCTCCGCCAGCCTTGCGGCCGGCCTTGGCGACATCCTCACTTTCCTCCGTCAAAACGGAGGCGTTGGAGTCTACTCGACGGTCTCGCCGCCCGCGGGTGACTCTGGGCTAGTGACGTGGCCTGTTTCGAGGGAGGCCAAAGGCCCCGGGCTGTCCGGCCGCAGCACGCGCCCCCTGGGCCACCTGTCCGCCGGGTCTGGACGGCGCGTGGGAACACAGCTCCCAGCTGGAGCCGGCGCTCAGACTCGAGAGGCGCGCGAGGCATCGCGAGAGTCGCGCCGCCTGACGTCACTAGGGGGCGCCTGCGCGAGGGTCCTCTTGGAGCCCGGCTGCTGGGCTGTTGACCTCTGTGCTGCCCGCGCCCTCAGAGTCATCGCCTCTGCGAGGCTTCTCCCGACGCCTGCTATTTCGTTCGTGCGGAGGACAGGTGAAAGAAAGATCCCGGGGATAAAGAGCAAGAGTGGGGACGTCGCCGGCCTCAGACATTATGTCGGTCACGGGAGTTAGCGTTCACTAGTCGCCCCCAGCTCTGAGCCGTCCCGGCCTCCCCAGTGTGGGTCAGAGGTCCTGGACAAGCTAACATCGCAAGTTTCCTTCACGCTGTTTGTCACCGTTTGCGACTCTTCTTAGTTTGATTTCTCTCCGTGATTAGATTGCAAGCTGCGGACGGGCAGTAGCCCTAGGATGGTACATTAGTAGGCTTCATGTTAAAATGTATGTATCACATAGGCAAGGAGATTATTATTCCTTTTCGTTTAAAGTATGATTTCTTCCTATTTCTTGAAGGCATTGGAAGAAATTGATAACATTGATTGCAGAGGGGAACTGGATGAAGAGGATGTTCTTTCTCCTCAACATACTTTAGTTCCTTGCACAAATATTACCAATTTTTTTTTTTTTTTTGAGACAGAGTCTCATTTTGTTGCCCAGGCTAGAGTGAGTGCCGTGGCGTCAGCCTGGCTCACAGCAACCTCAATCTCCGGGGCTCAGCAATCCTACTGCCTCAGCCTCCCGAGTAGCTGGGACTACAGGCATGTGCCACCATGCCCGGCTAATTTTTTGTATATATATATTTCAGTTGGTCAATTAATTTATTTCTATTTTTGGTAGAGATGGGGTCTCGCTCAGGCTGGTTTCGAACTCCTGACCTTGAGCAATCCGCCAGCCTCGGCCTCCCAAAGTGCTAGGATTATAGGCGTGAGCCACCACGCCTCGGCCCGAAATTTTTAAAATTAAAAACAAAATTAAATTTCAGTAGGGCATATATAGAACTCTAAGACTTTTTAGGGGACAGAGTTTAAAAGTTGCACTCTAATATTTGCTTTTATCAATGAAAAGTAACTTAGCAAAGAGTAACTTAGCAAAGCCACACCGATCATGAATCATAAGATGCCACAAATTTCCCTTCTAGTTCCTGGGTGGAAGAGAGCAGTTCTGTCACCTCCATTTATCTCCCCTGTCATTATCTGTCATTTCCTCTTCATTTTGACATTAACATTTCTCTTATCAGAGACATATTTGGGTTCAACAAATAAAATCTCCAGTTATTTTTATGCTGGAACGTGCGAGGACTGGTACTATCACTTTTTTGTTGCTTTTTTTTATTTTTAAGAATGAAGTTGAAACACTTGTTCAAGTCAGTTATTTTTCATCTCCACTGACTTACATACCAGGAAAAGTCTGTGTACATAGTAAACAACAGCTGGGATAAAGGGGTATTCTTGCAGCTCATGTTTGTTAAAAACACCCCGCTCCCCACTTTAGTTGATTAAACTTAATTTTACTAATAGAGGACCAATCTGACATTTACACATCACCACCAGTGAAATATTCTTGCCGAAAATGGTTAATTCAAAGCCAGTCAAGCCTTTGGATCTAACTTCCAGTTTACAGGAAATAAAGGAGATAAAGAAACAATAGACACCATGATGAAACAATCAGATAAATGCACAATGTGAAATATATTCTGCGTGACGTCTAATTATCTCTTTAAAAAGTCAATGTCATTTTAAAAGACACATAAAAGAGAGAGACAGGGAGACTGTTCTGGATTTAAAATCAAATAGAGTATATGAAACTTGACTACATCCTGGCTTGAAAAAACATCTATATAACACATTTTGGGGACAATTGGTAGACAATCTGAATACATGTTAAATATTAGGTGATAGTGGAAGTGATAATGGTACATTTATATAATGAAATATTTAGGGGTGAAGTGCTATGATGTCTGCAATTTCATCTCAAATGTTCAGTAAAAAAGATACACAAAGCACACGTGGCAGTGTTTATTTTTTATAATATGGTAGGCACATTGATGTTATTTTATTATTCTTTCTGCTTTTCTATGTTCTAACATTTTCATAGAAGTTGGGGTAAACAAATACCATTCTTGCCACAAACCATTCATGGATGAAGGGCAAAAGCCTGCTGACCCCTGTGGCAGGACAGGCTTTGCCTCTTCCATGGCACCCTCTTGGGTTGGGAAAATGGTGAAGTGGGTTAGCAGGCAGGCTGTCAGTCTCTTCCCCACCTAGGCCTGTTATCCCTTTGGAAAGTAAAATTGGATTAGATTCAGTTAGAGCCAAAAAATTCCAAGATTGTAGGTATTTATTCTAGTTATCTATTGCTACATAACAAATTACTCCCAATCAGTGGCTTAAAATTGCCATTTTATTGTATTTATGGATTCATTGAGTCAGAAATTCAGAAAGGACACAGCAGGGATGGCTTGTCTCTGCTCCATGATGTCTGGGCCTCAGTTGGGATGACTGAAAGGCTGGGTTGCCTTTATGGCTGGAGCCAAGAATCATTCGGTGGTATCATGTTTGTAGGTCATGCTGGTATAGGTTGGGACCTCTGGCTGTTGGCCAGAACACCTACATGTGGCCTATCCACATGGCCTTGGATTTCTTACATGGAGGCTTGTGCTCTAAAGGTGGGTGTCCCTTGGCTGGGCGTGGTGGCTCACCCCTGTAATCCTAGCACTCTGGGAGGCCAAGGTGGGCGGATTGTTCAAGGTCAGGAGTTTGAAACCAGCCTGAGCAAGAGCGAGACCCTGTCTCTACTAAAAATAGAAATTAATCAGCCAACTAATATATATAGAAAAAATTAGCCGGGCATGGTGGCGCATGCCTGTAGTCCCAGCTACTCAGGAGGCTGAGGCAGGAGGATCGCTTGAGCCCAGGAGTTTGAGGTTGCTGTGAGCTAGGCTGATGCCACGGCACTCACTCTAGCCTGGGCAACAAAATGAGACTCTGTCTCAAAAAAAAAAAAAAAAAAAAATAAGTAAAGGTGAGTGTCCCAAGAGAACCAGGCAGAAGCTGTATAGCCTGTTATGACCTAGCCTCAGAAGTCACATGGGCCCAATTCAGTGCCAGATTCAGAGGGCAGAACAGACCCCACCTCTCTCCATGGGAGGAACATCAAACCCACAGTGTAAGAGAAGAGCTATGGGTTGGGAGACAATTGCTGAATACGTTGTGGGAATGTATTCCGAATACACTGCCACAGCACTCCCCAGTGCTTTTTTCCAGCTGCTTGTCTCCCAGCTGAGATAGATGAGATACAGCCCCCAGACTCTGCCCTCTGAGCAAAGTGGCTCTCCTTTCCATCTTTCTTATAACAGCACTTAGTCCACATCCTCATTACTTCATCTTGGGTTTATATCATACTTTCCCCTAAATGGCCTTCCTTCCCATCTTTATAGAACCATCCAGCTAAACTACTCCCATTGTGCCACATCCCTTCAGTGCACACCTTCAGTGGCTCTGCAACCTTCTGTTCGGCTTTTAGCGTTTCCCAAAGCTGGTTTCCAGTGCATTCCAGTACACTGTTGTGCATTTCCATTACCTGCCCCATTCAGGTAGGTGCAGTCTCTCCCACTGTCCCATGACAACACTGTCTAGCCTCTTTGGGACTGATGATCACATTTTGCCCTGCATTATAACCCAAAATGTTGGCAGAATTGAGGGCTTCAGTAGGTCAGAAGGGGGGGAGAAGTGTGAGTGGGGACCACAGCCTCTAAATGGTCATGTCCTGTGGGCAGCTGGGAGATGACAGGGTGAATGGTCTATATAAGGAAGGTATCTACCTACTATTTTTATCTTTTTCCTTATATGTAGTGGGGTAAACAGACTGCAGTTTAAGTTTGTTTTGTATCCGTCTGAACTAGTCCAGAAAGCTGTACAGTATTTACAGCAACCTAGAGAGTTATTTAGTCTTTGACAAAAAGAGACTCAAATCCAGAACTAGAAGTGGAAAAAAAAAAAGACTTCAATGATAGACTGTTTCATAAATTATAAAAGTACTCATTCAACATAGATTTAATTAAAAAATGGAGCATATCTTACATAAGGATATTTTGTAAATTAGAAATCTTATACCTATCTAGGTACTATAGAAAATGCACAGACCTTCCACAGCTCATAGAGGAAAGACTGTATGATAATTTTGATAAGGAGTTGAGGAACAATTCAAAAATAGATTACAAAGAGAGGAGTCAGGAGGCAGAAAATGCTTCAAGAGGCACAGTCTTCAGAAATTGCTCTGGAATGCCATTTCACTTGTGTCAATGTCATGTTCCTGGATAAGAAAATAAGACAGAATATTTTAGTACAAAGCTTGAAACATGAACTCTTTCATTTTTTGGACTTTAATTAGAGATCTCGAATCATCATTAATTGGGACATACAGGGAACTTCTAGCTTTAGGGCTGAATCCAACACAAGGATCAAATTATCACTACCAGGACAGGGCTTCTGACCACTGCCCATCACCCACCATAATGAATGAATAACAAATATGATTGAAGGCACTGATGGAAAGACCACACCAAACGGTGGTCTTGGGGGCCTGTGCTGCCATGTCACCAGGGTGAGGACTATTGGGAATCTACCTGAGTCCCCATCCCACATTTCACTGCTGAGCAGCTATGTCAGTAACCTCGCATCTGGGTTTGCTTCATGGCACTTAGAACGCGATAAAACCTCTCTCCCACTGCACATGGCTCCGAGAGAGACAGCCAGGACTGGACTCATCTTGTTCACTGCTATGGCCCTAGCCTCTAGCACCATGCCTGGCACATATAAGGTGTGCAGTAAAGCACTGCCAAATGAGTACCCAGCAGACCCAGCCTCCTTCCACTAGAGGCACAGACCCTAACAGGTCTTTCTACCCAGATCTAAAATCCTAAGCTTATGTTCTGTCTGCTTAAATTTTGTTTGTTTGTTTTAGAGACAGAGTCTCACTCTGTTGCCCCAGGTAGAGTGTAGCGGCATCATCATAGTTCACTGCAACCTCAAACTCCTAGGCTCAAGTGATCCTCCTGCCTCAGCCTCCAGAGTAGCTGGGACTACAGGCACATGCCATGATGCCCAGCTAATTTTTATATTTTTAGTAGAGATGGGGGTCTTGCTCTTGCTCAGGCTGGTCTGGAACTCCTGAGCTCAAGCAATATCCCCACCTCAACCTCCCAGAGTGCTAGGATTATCAGCGTGGGCCACCACACCTGGCCTCTGCCTGCTTACATTAAAAAACAAAGCACTTTTTTTTCCTACAAAGTAACATATTCCTTTTTTTTGGAGACAGAGTCTTACTTTGTTGCCCAGGCTAGAGTGAGTGCCGTGGCATCAGCCTAGCTCACAGCAACCTCAAACTCCTGGGCTCAAGCGATCCTCCTGCCTCAGCCTCCTGAGTAGCTGGGACTACAGGCATGCACCACCATGCCTGGCTAATTTTTTCTATATATATTAGTTGGCCAATTAATTTCTTTCTATTTATAGTAGAGACAGGGTCTCGCTCTTGCTCAGGTTGGTTTCGAACTCCTGAGCTCTAACGATCTGCCCGCCTCGGCCTCCCAGAGAGCTAGGATTACAGGCGTGAGCCACCACGCCCCTCGAAAGTGACACATTCTTTATAGAAATTTTTATACAGAAGGAAAATAAAAATCAAACACTATACATGTGCATAAGTATCTTTATGTTCTTTTTTACTATGCAAAATGGATATGTGTATGTTGAAAAGAAAAAAGGAAGATCTCTATGTACTGCTTTATGACCCTTTTCCCCCCATTTGCTGTACTGTGAATGTATTCCCAAGTCCTTAAACATTCTTTTAAAACATTTTTAATCTTATGAATGTACCCTAGGATATTTAACCAGTTCTCTATTGATGAAGATTTTCTTGAATTAAAACAGTACTGCACTAAGCATCCTGGTTGATAAATCTGCACATATTAAGGATTTTATTACTAAAACAGATTCTGAAGATTAGAACTGCCAGGTCAAAGGTATATATATATATATATTAGGGCTTTTGAAGAGTATTATAAAAATATCTCCAGAAAAGTAGAACCAGTTTATTCTCCCATGAGTAGTGTATGAATGCCTATTTACCAATACTGCTTGGGCATTTAGTTTTAGAAATCCTGTTAAGGGATTTCTAAAAAAGGAAGGCAGAGCATCATTTTCAATGATGTTGAAAGGAAGGCAGAGCATCATTTTCAATGTTCTTGGCCCTCAGTCTGAGAAAGATGATTTCTACCATGAGGCGCTGACCTCATGTCCTGCTGCTCTATCCTTTGCTCAGTTCTCTCCAGCCACACTGTCATCACTGCTATTCCTCAAACATGCCAGGCACAGCCCAGCCTTAGAGACTTTGCATAGGTTTCCCCTCTGCCTGGGACGTTCTTCCTCAGCTATCTACATGGCTAAGTCCTGCCACACATTCAAGTCTTTGCTCCAATACAACTTTGCAGTGAGGCCTGCCCTGAGCACCCTGTTTAACACTCGCCAGTCACCATAGCCACATTCAGCACACTTGATCCCTCCTGCCCAGCTCTATGCTTATACCATGGTGCTTAACATCTCCTAGCATACTATATGACTTGCTTATACATTATGTTTATTGTTTGCTACCTGTATCCTCCAGGTAGGATCTAAGTTCTGTGAGGGACCATTGCCTGTTTTGTTCTCCTAGTAGACACTTAATAAATACTTGCAGATTGAATGACTGTCATAGAACACGAGAAGCACAGTTTATAGATGATCCCACCACTGGAGGGCTCCCACTTCAGTGGTGTTCTAGGCTATGTACCTGGTTCAATTTCTTGAACTCCACCACTTGAAAGAAGATGTGCTCAAGGATATGTTTGGCATCTTGTTGGTCCTTTGGTAGTTTACTGGTTACTCCAAGAATGTCGCCACACTTCCTGACGTAGAATTCCAGATCTTCTTCAGTACCTAAGCACAGTTAGGATAGTTAGATTAACCCTTAACTTCTGCCCTTCCCACAATACAGACTTAGTGTGTTTTAGGTATTCCCTATTAATTTTTGTATCTCTTAACATCATTCACCTCTTCCTAGGGTAGTGTGACCACAGGACTTCAACAGTGACAAACTCTAGAGACCTCTAATGTGTAGCTTTTGTGAATTAGGACAAAAGTGTGACACACTTAACCAGAATAAAGCTGGACTGGTTCTGGCTTTCTTATTCCCCAGATCTGTCATTCTCACATTACAAACAATAGGAGCAAACAGTAGGAAAAACCAAACTACCATTCTCTAAATGCAACAAGGATCACTATGAGAAAGGAATATGAGTATTTTAAAACAGCATTTACCATAACAATATTATAGAAAGAAAATTAATGAAGAAAAAATTTTCCCTTATTTTTTTCCCCACGTTTTTTTTTTGAGGCCTTTCCCGGCGGCCTTCCTTGTTGTTATTGGGCGGCCTTTCTTGCTTTTTTTCCGTTCTCTTGCATTTTCCCCCTTTTGTTTGGCTTTTTTAAAATTTTTATTGGAATTTAGTTTTTTTTATTAAGATAGTCAAACATAGCTGTAACACTCTCATTCCAGCTCTATGCTCACCAATACTACCTAGAACAGTTATTGTTAGATATGCTTCTATATGTACATATAAGTTTTCACAAAAATAAGATGAAATTATAATAGTTTTATAAGTTGCCTTCATCATTTAATGATGTATTATGGACATTCCATGTCAAAGCTCATGCTGTACATTTTTCTTTTACCAAATATATTTTTCTACTTTATTTAATAATCTTTTTAAACAACCCCTACTGATGCATGAACCATAGATTGTTCCCAATTTTTTGAATACTATAATATCTATATAGCTGTATCTTTCCCCACCCCCCACCCCACCCCGAGACAGTATCTTGCAATGTCACCCAGGCAGTATTTGAACTCCTGGTCTCAAGTGATTGTCCTGTCTCAGCCTCTTGTGTAGCTGAGACTATAGGCACACACCAACACATTTGGCTATAGCTGTATTTTTCTGTTTTGCATTTCTATGAGGATTTTCGTGGGATAATTTGCTGGAAACAGAAGTGCTGGGTCAAAGCATCTGATTCTTTCTAATCATTATGCCTTGCTAATTTTTGATTGCCCAACACCTATTGTCTTACTGAATAAGTATGACACAATTTACTACCATTCCCCATTGCTGGACATTAACACTATTCCCAAATTAATTGTACTTTTTAGATGTTTTTTAGCTTTTTTCTTTTTTTCTTTTAGAGACAGGGTCTCATTCTATGTCCCAGACTGGAGTGCAGTGCCACAATCATAGCTCACCGCAGCCACAAATTCTTAGTCTCAAGTCATCTTCCCACCTCAGCATCCTGAGCAGCTAGAATTACAGGTACAAGCGACCATGCTCTACTGGAGGCACTCATGTCAGGAGGAGGACAGGGCAAAGAGTCAGGAGGATCATTCACCATGGAGGTCTGTCACCTGGGGCCTCATTTTTTCTCCACATGTCAAGGTGGGGACACTTGGCTCTCTGGGATCCTATCCAATTTGAAGTCTCTGATTCTTGTGGCCCTGACTCAATTTCCTTATTTAACTTCTCCTATGACCACTGACCTAGATTTGCTAGGTGGTGGCCAGGGTCATCCTGTGGTCACTCAGTTGGTCAGAACTAAGGACCTATAACTCACCGAGCTAAATGGGCTCAAGAAAAACAACCAAAATTATTTACATAAAATAAACAAGAATTGTAAGTTTATACTCTTGTTCATATTTTATTTTCCCTAAACAAACTCTTAAGCTTTCTCTCATAGCAAATCTCAGAAGTTCATGATTAAATAAATAAAACTCATAAAAGAAAACAAAATTTTAAAATTGGCCAAACTTACACTTATTGGTAATCTGAGCAAGCCGTGCCTTCTCAGAGGAGAATGTCTCATCTAAGTCAAACAGCTCCAGAGGAGGAGGTGGTAGTTCCCTGAAACTAGGAGGGAAAACCTAAAAGGAAATAAAGTCTTTGGTGAAGCTTATCCAAAGCCATAACTAACAATGATGAGTCACACGGGAAATAAGAGGCAACTCAGCCTTTCCCTAAGCATGAACCACTCAAACTTTCATCATGCCTCCTCTACCCTCATCCATGAGACCCATATCAAGCCAGACAACTAGTCCACTGTAAGCAACCAAGTGGAACCAGCTCTAACCATACCATGAAATTAACCAAGCTGACATACCAGTGCCATTTAACTTAGCACAACAATGCAAACCTTGGGGCATGGGTTTGTGTTGAATATTTGATTGTACAACTTGTTGATTGTACAACTTGTTTCTCATTCATTCATTTATTTTTGAGACAGGGTTATGTTCTGCACCCATGCTGGAGTGCAATGGCATGATCATAACTCACTGTAACCTTGAACTCCTAGGCTCAAATGATTCTCCCATCTCAGTCTCCCAAATGGCGTGTGTATGCCACCATGCCTGGCTAATTTTTAAATTTTTTTTAGACGTGGGGTCTCGCTATATTGCCCAGGCTTATCTTGAACTCCTGGGCTCAAGCAATCCTCCTACCACAGCCTCCTAAAATGCTGGGATTACAAGTGTGAGCCACTGTGCCTGGCCTTGTTTCTCATTTAATCATGAGTTCTTTAGGGACAGAAATTATTTGGGGAAGCAGATGTAGACTAGTGTAGAAAGTGCCAAACTTGGAGTCAGAATTCATAGGTATGAGCCAAACGTGTGCTGGAAAATGTTTTACTAGTTCTCAAAACAATGTTTATCTACTAGCTCTCACCATGGCTAATTTCAAGCTACCAAGATCAAGCCAACTGGCTTATAACATTCCAGGATGTGGTGGGACAGGACAATTTTAAAGGCAAGTTGAATTAATGCTGGACTGAAGCCAGGCGTGGTGGCTGGTGAGGTAAGGGCCAACAGTGGGGCTCTGCAGCAGGATCCCCCAAATATACCTACTCACCGCAGGCTGAAGGGCTGGCAGCGGTGTCTCAAACTGAGGTTGTATGAGCTGGAGGGGTTCATGTTTCACGTTTAGCTGCTCATGAGCCCTGTGTCAATAATAAAACAAAAAAGTAAGGATCAAGATAAGAAACTGTAGCAAAGCACATCTAACTGCCCACACTATTTTGCTCTCTATCCGTTATGATGGTTTAGTACTATTTTAGAAAAACAGGCAAATGTATTGTTATATCTAATGTAATGATCCTTTCAGGAATCTCTATTGTATCATACAGTTTCATTCACTAAGAACTTAAGGGAAAAATTTCTATCAAGTATCGTATCAGGTTTCTCCTAAATAGGCTTTTAAAAAAAATTTTTTTTGAGACAAGGTCTTATTCTGTTAACTCAGTTGCAGTGCAGTGACATCATTGCAGCTTACTGCAACTTCAAACTCCTGGGCTCAAAGGACTGAAGCCCTAAGAACTTCCACAATCTTCAGTCAACACCCTTTCCCATCCACCAGCATCTGCATGCATCTTTCCCGTCTGTTACTGACAAACAAGCCATGCTCCTACCTGAAAGCTAAGACTGCTCACCAAATCCCCTTCCCCATTCTCTCCCGCTAATTCTCTTTCTTCACTCTAGCCATTCTCCTTGCTCTTTCCTATATTATACATTTTTCTCTCCACTGGAACATTCCCACCAATTTAAAAACATCCGGTGATTTCTTTCATCTAAAAAACACCTTCTTGACCTTACATCCTCCAACAAGCTACTACCCACTGCCTCCGGCCTTGCTCTCTTCCTCTTGGTAGCAAAATACCTCAAAAGAGTTATCTATATCTGCTATCTCCAATTCCTCTGTCATTCTCTTAAACCAACTCCAAACAAGCTTTCACCCTCACATGTTACCAAAAATACTGTCAAGATCACCAATGACCTCCATGTTGCTAAACCCAGTGATAAACTCTCAGCCCTCATGCTCAGAACAGACCCCATTTGTCTATCCTTTTCCTGCATTCTTAGTGTCACATAATAGCATTACCAGTTGCCCAGATGGAATGATGGTGACCACCATCTTGGTTTACTGAGTGGATTCCTAGAACTTGTGACTCTCTGTGCTAAAACCAGGAAAAGTCTCAGATAAAACAGAACAAGTTTCACGCTAAATGCCTGGTACAGAGCCTGGGACATACAGGGGCTAATAACTGCTGGCAGTTCTTCTGCATCAACCCTGCATCCCCACCCCAGTTCCTTTGTTGACCTCATCATAGATCTGACAATATGTTTTGTATGCCACAATTGCCGTGACCCTAACTCCCATCCACAGGCTCATGTTTTCAAACCAAATGCTCTGAATGGAGTACAGTGCAGCTGGGAGAGCCACAGGTACTGACTTGATGACCTTGGGGAGGGAGGTGGTATCCAGCTGGTAAATGGACAGGTCGAAGAGGGTGGTAAAGTCCCGTGGGTTCTCATCGCCCTCCTGGAGACACACTCGAAGGCGCTCGGACAGGCTGGCTGTGTCGGGCAGCATCATGTAGTCAGAAATCTGAAAGCCACAAGAGGGTTCCTTTCAGCAGAGCAGGAGCAAGAGTTTATCTGTCAAATCTCCACTGTCTCAGGTCTAAATCTGTAATATTTACGCTCTCTTGCCAAGAGATTTCACTGTTCATGATGACTGACAAATAAACCTTAAATAAGCCACTTTATGTGGAATGAGGAACAAAACTCACTTCACTTGGCTAAATCCCAGTGCTGGCTCCAATTAAGCCAGTACTCATGCAGCTGAACACAGCTGGAGAAACACACAACCACGTTGACTGATCTTTTAATTTCATGATCTCTCATCTTGAGTGCTCAGCAAGTATAGCTCCCTACTCCACTCAGTTTCCCACTCTCCCAGATGATACTTCCCTTTTGTCACTTCAACCATTCAAAACAATTTTCACTTTTAAAATTTTATCGGATGACTTTATTTTCTATTTTAGTGTAAAAATAGAGGCAATCATGAAAGAAAGTCCACAAGCTCCCACTACATGTACCTACCCACCAACACCTGGGTCATATCCCCTGTTTTCCTCCTGTTAGATGCCTGAGCACCTGTGATGCCAGCACAGACACCCTCTCCACTGCTACATTAGATCCCAACCCTTATCCCCTAGCCAATGACATCCTTCCAGCACTCCTGAGAGCTTCAATCATGACACATGCTGTGGGTTGGTAACAATGAAAGACCAGGAAAACCCAAATGTCTATAAGAAGGAGACTAGTTAAATATATTACATTCAGGCTGGGCACAAGGGCTCATGCCTATAATCCCAGCAGTTTGGGAGGCCAAGGCAAGAGGACTGCTTAAGGCCAGGAATTCAAGACCAGCCTGAGCAACATAGCAAAACCCTGTCTCCACAAAAAAATTTTTAAAAATTAGCCAGGTGTGATGGGTACACATCTGAAGTCCCAGCTACTGAGGAGGCTGAGGTGGGAGGATCACTTGAGCCCAGGAATTCGAGGCTATAGTGAACTATGATGCCACTGCATTACAGCCTGAGCAAGACACTGTCTCTAAAAAAATTTTTTTTAATATTACATTTAAACAATGAAAATACAGTCTTCAAAATAAAACAAAAAAACCTCTATGTATGAATATGGAAAAATCTTCAAGATATATTGGTAATTTTTAAAAGGTGCTATATAGTATGTGTGTGTATATATATATGTATATATATACACATACACAGCACATATAGTACCATTTATATAAAAGAAGAGGGAAGGAAAATTTGCTCATATAAATATAAAATATCTCTCATAGAACATATAAGAAACTGCTAATACTGGGGAAGAAAAAATGTGGCTGGGCTGAAAGAGAGAAGGAAGACTGTTCACTGTGTATGCTTTTGAATTCCCAACTATGTGAATGCATTAGCTATTAAAAATAAATTCAAATTTAAATAAATGCATGCGGACAACAATAAGTTTATTCCTAACTGCCCACTGAACTGCATTTAGCCAACGTGGCCAACTTGGTAATAGTTTAAAAACTAGTCCTCTGAAGTCACCTGTAACATTCTTTTTCCTATATTCTCTAGCTCCAGCACTGGAGGACACATGCCTTAGCATTACAGAAATAATTGGTCAAGACAGACAGGCTCGCTTTTTTCTGTAGCCCAAAGGTCAAAAGTTCCCCCAATCCTCAAAACCTTTTTTTAGACAAAAAAACGAGAAGAGCATAAACAAATAAATGTCCTTCCGAGTGTCATTTGGCGGTTTTAGAGGCTTCATCCCACCAACATGACAGTGGGTTGAGGTGAGAGCAACAAGGGCACTAACTGTGCCAGAACACACCCAGCACTCAACACAGTCAGTAATGGGCCCAGCAGTCCCAAGATCCTGAAGTTAATTCTCTTATCTCCCTGCACAGAGGCCTTCTGAAGATCCTATTTCAGAAAGCCAGCAAGGCCTTACATGTCCACACAGAAACATGAAAGAGTGGGCCCAGGACCACTGGCTTTCATGAGTTCCTGGCAGGTTTCAAGGTTAAAATTTGTTACGTAAATTCCTTTAGCTCTTTTTTTGAGCTACTGTTTTATTTTATAAAATACTGTTTGAAACTAAGCTATTGTCTAGGTTTGAAACCCATCCTGATATAACATGATTTGATCTGAAATCACAGTTAGGAAGTTCAGGTTTCTGGAATTTCTCAGTTTGCGATGTTATTTGATCTAGCATTTTATTTTCCCAAAGCCTTGCTATATAAAGTCCATTTTCTTCCAGGTCTCAAATCTAGAAGATGGTTTTAGAGAAAGGCCTTAACAACACTACAGTCTTCCACTGGCTTTCCCCTGCCACCTCCCTTCTCAACTCAGTCCGGTGTCAAGTGTGGTGGACAGTGAACACAACAGAGTAGAAGAAAAGTTACAAGCCCCAGAATCTTCCTCACCTGGGTGTTAATAATGGCTCAGCAAGTATTAATGTAAGTGGGGACCTTGAACAGTTTACTTACTTCAGTTTCCTAAGCTAGAAAATGATGCTGGGAATGACAGACACTTAGCAAGAGCTAAGTGGTGGACACACAGGACAGTAGCAGACGCAGCATCTCTCAGTGCTACTCCCTCGACCCACAACACTCTGAATAGGATTGGCAGCTGCCAAAGATGCCATCCACTCAGGGGTTGATCCTGTGACACCTGAAAAGTGAAGTCCCTGTTGCACCCCAATTCTTTTATTTCGAGGCCTTACATCACTTTTTAGGAGGAAATTGAACAAAATATTCATATGTTTAATAATTCCATATAGGGAATAATATTTTAGATGTGTGGCTCTAGCCATGTCCTTATCTGACAGAGGAGGCAGTCATTGGACGGCCATCTCTGTTTTCTCACCTACCTCCTGCTGCTCATAGCCAGGAAATAATTTTCCTGACATTTCAAAGTTTAAGAAACAGAAAAGGCTGGGCGGGGTGGCTCATGCCTATAATCCTAGCACTCTGGGAGGCCTAGGCGGGCAGATTGCTTGAGGTCAGGAGTTCGAAACCAGCCTGAGCAGGAGCGAGACCCCATCTCTACTATAAATATGAAAGAAATTAATTGGCCACTAATATAGTATATACTATATATATATATATATATATATATATTATATAATAAATTAGCCGGGCCATGGTGGCACATGCCTGTAGTCCAGCACTTGGGAGGCTAGCAGCAGGATCGCTTGAACCAGGAGTTTGAGGTTGCTGTGAGCTAGGCTGAACACCATGGCACTCACTACAGCCTGGACAACAAAGCAAGACTCTGTCTCAAAAAAAAAAAAGAAAGAAAAGAAAAGAAAGAAAGAAAAGAAAAAAAGAAAAGAAAGAAAGCAACAGTGGAATGAGTGGACTTTGAACTAGGAGACCTGGTTTGGGCCCTGGTGCTGCATGTGCTGCATGCACCTACCATTTGTACACTGCAGTCTTACAGAGTTTCAGTTTTCTCATCTATAAAAATGAGAATAAGACCATCTACCTGCCAAGGCTGTTGTGAGGATTAAATAAGATGATTTATATAAAAGTATATAACAAACAGTGCGTGACATATGGTAAATACAAAAGTTAAAAACAAAGCCTTGTAGATACATAGCATATTTTACACCTTTTCATTTAATAAGTTAATTTCTATCTATTAATTTTGGCCTCACAATCATCCCATCCCCAATTCACAGATAAGGAAACTAGGATGAAAAAGGTCAGAAAGAACCTGCTTAAGGTCCAAGAGCCAGGGGTAGTGCCAGATCCAGAACATAGGTTATTGGTTCCCATGCCAGTGCTGGTTTCCCTACCCTCCCTGGTCTAATGAATATTAGCATGATACCTTTAGAACTGTTATTTCTAAGGCAACAAAATTATAGTTTACAACTTAAATTCTGATGATCATTGTTTCTTCATGAAAAAATTATTTTTATATCCTTCATATTTCTGGAGGAAGAATTTCTTTACAAATGCTCATTTTGAAAGTTTGGGCCAAAGAACATATATTTTAAATTCCAATTTTTATATAAATATATATATGGGCTCCCATCCCAATTAATTCTATGATTA